ATCATTTGGGGACCATTGTTCTTCACAAAAACCTATCCATACATTCTCTGATGCATTTCTCTACCATGTCGTAATCCTATCAGGTCTGTACAGCCACTCAAAAAAATGGCCTAGATAAGGGTTAGCGATTAAAATTTTCGGGAGGGTAGATTATGCTCTGGGTCAGGAGGTGCTATCGTGGCCACCTATCCCGTGAAGTTGTCGCTAGAGGCGACCTTGGGTCAATGTTTGAAATACATGTTCAAAAAGAAATGAAATCCCGTGAAGTTGTCGCTAGAGGCGACCTTGGGTCAATGTTTGAAATACATGTTCAAAAAGAAATGAAGATACGAAAAGCGAGTAGTTGCAAAAAAGGACGGTAAAAGAAAAAAAACTCATCAAAAAAACTTCTCAGTGATGTCTGGCAAGATGCCATGTATAAAGGTCGATGACTAGATTTGCTGAGCGGTGTCCTAGTTTCAAAGTGACTATGGCTACCCACCCTACCCCTACCCATGATGTCATTTGAGCTATTTTGACATGAAACAAATCCCACCGACGAATGTAGACTCGAGATCCGAACCCTTGTTCCTACGTGCGAAAGGGACGCCCATCTCTTATTCCCCGTAAGGTCCCAAACCAGCAGAATCAAGAAATAACTCGCAAAGATCAAGAAGTACATAGTTCTCCAATTGTCATTCGTCAAAAAGTAGGAGATTAGCACAAAAATGAAATAAATACATAATCCTTCGATTTTGGAGAGGATTCATCCTATCTTTGAATAACAGCAAGTAGAGAAAATTAGAAAAAGTCATTCGGCAGTTTTATTCAGAAATGGGAATGAATGGATGAATTCATTTCCCGTTAGTTTCCAGGAAATTATTGTAATTCTGATGTAGGCCTATATAACCCGATGCTGCTTGCTTAATGAATGCTTTTCCCTGGTCTCATTGAACTGCCTCGGGTGGTCCCGTCCCCCGTGGGCTCATCCTCTCATTAATCCTGTATGGGATCATAGAAAAGCAGGGAATGGGACTGGTCTCAGACAGTTTAATTTACAGCACCAGATCATGAAGATCAAGTCATCCATAGGGGGCGACCAATTGCTACCATTCTTCCTGAGAGAGAAAAAACACTGGCACGACTTAGGCTTGGCGAGTTCGGATTCAAATCTTTCTACAAATAAAAGTCAGAAGCGCTGAGCTTCTCCTGAGGCAAATGATCGGCTCTTCAGATTTCATCCCTTCTGGTTGGAGGAGTTGGTAAGGTGTGGTCGGGAAATAGTACCCAAACGACGGCTTTTTAATTAGCCCAGCTTCCACACAAAAGGCTTTTCTTTTGGATCAAATGAGTATATGGAGGATTAAGATGTACAAGATGTGAACCCTTGCAAAAACATCCCACATAGTTGCACTGGAGGATCTACGTGCTCCCATCCTAGCGGTTGCCGATAGGTTCTGCAGAATCGCTGGCAAAAGACCTAGATTTCCAATTCCCATACGAGAAAACATGCAGTAGCAAAACCTGAAATCCATCAGGCCAGCCAATTCTAGCTTCTACAAGTTCGAATCTGGGGATGTAATGATGAAAAAACGAAAGGGCCCTGAGAAGTTGTGTAGCGGAACTGAGAGGTATTCTCATCACAACAGCAAAAAAAATTTCCCTCTTTGGTTTTCTTTTTCAAATTAACTACGAGCTGGTCATTTTAATAGTCATTTCAAGAGACAGAAGCTCACGGTTCAATTACTTCAATTACTGGGAAGAAACTACGGGATAAGCCATGTGTATGGATAATGCTCTGAGTTACAGAGGTGGTCCAAACATTTGGCTTATTGGCTCACAATGAGCCTTTCACCTGAGCAATGACTAAAAAACTCAATAATGCTCCTCCCGTTTTACTTCTTATACAGCCATGTTGAGATCATGGAGAGGTGGAGATACCGTGACTTTCCAATTTGAGTGTGGGCTTACATACTTGGTCACCCTGATGATTGCCTTTCCTTTCCCCTATCGAGATTTCCAACCGCTTCGCAGTAAAGTGCAGTCGCCTACTTTCGCTGAGCTTCACCCGAATAGGATTTTGGTCTCTGGTTACCTAAGCGAGCTTCCACTACGTGGTTCCCTAGGTTGATTCTTAGATTCCGAAGGCTCATTCAAAAAGAACTCGGATCGGGAAGGTTTCTGAGACAGAGTAGCACTCGATTTCCTTCAATTTCAGGCGTAGCTAAAGTAGAGAACTCATTTGATGAGCACTTGGAAGCAATCAAGTTACAGGTTTGCTAGTTTCAACTTCCAGAGGTTTAGAAAGGACGAGCACTAATCAAGTCAGGAGAGAAAACGTATCTAAGAATCGATTCGCCCCCATCTCCAAGGATCTTTATAAAGCTCTATAATCATACAGTAGCCAAATACGGCTTTAAATTTCTTGTCATAAATCGTTTTGAAGGTTCCGGGTAGTCTTGAAGAGTAGATCCCCGTTAACCATAGCAGTCCATCTTATTCAACTGTCCCTTCAAAAATTCAACAAAAACTCCTAGCCCTTTTGCAAAAGCTCGTCAACAGATGGATATCTCAGAAAGCACTTCTAAACACCCCTCAAAGTCGTCTGTATTATTCATGACTGCCGATTTTTTGGTATTATGGTGGCCACTAATCCAAATTTCAGCCAGACCCTGAGAACTCATCCAAAAATGGAATCCTGGTCATGAAGCAAAGCGATCGGTGATGGGGTGGACGGTAGATATTCCTCCTGTCTTCAGTCGAAACCAGCTGGATACACTAAAGACATGCGGTTCTAGAGTTGATTACAGTGGCCTCAGAAGGGCCATCCACTAGGCCTCCATTCAGTTCCTAGACGGTATCGATCGGTTTGCCACTGAAGGATGGCATGCTCCTGCTTGCAAATGAACTTGAGCTTGGGTCTTTGGCTTATATAGTAACTTGGATTAATGACTGATAGTCAAAATAATTGCTTTTGCTCCCGGGGCTGCCTATCCTTTGGATAATCCCAAAAATCACTCCGTCCTCGCTAATGATGGGAATCCTATCCTAGAACAACGTTGCAAACGTCATTTGGGATTCCCACAATGG